CTAGATTAATCAGATGAGAACAACACCAGAGAGGTGAGCTAGAGCTCCAAGAGGTGTGTTGTCGAGACTGAAGAACTCTTCAGCCTCGATCCCAATATATACTTCTATTTAGGAAGCTTCTCAAGCAACTTTTATCAATTAGGAAGCTTCTAGAAGGTTCCAGAGACTTGCTTCTAGAAGGTTCTAGAAACTTATCTCTAGAAGGTTCTAAGGACTATGTCCCTAACATCTTCTATCAACTAAAAAGCTTCTAGAAGGTTCCAGAGACTTGCTTCTAGAAGGTTCTAGAAGCTTGTCTCTAGAAAGTTCTAGAAACTTATCTCTAGAAGGTTCTAAGGACTATGTCCCTAACACAACCATCATTTCTCTTAGGTGATAAGGTATGGCTACTTCTTCGCAATAACAAGACCACTTGTCGTTGTGACAAGTTAGACTATCGAAGGCTGGAATCATTTTCTATTTCTGTACAAATCAATCTAGTTGCATATTATTTACATCTATCGGAGTCAATAAAAATCCATCTAGTATTCCACATATCTCTTCTTGAAGCATATAAGACAGTGGACATACCAAGAAGATGAGAAGCTCCACCTCCTCTTATAGAAGTGGACAATAATGAAGAGTTTGAAGTAGAAGAAGTCTTAGATTCAAGGCGACGCCAAAATAAATTGGAATATCTTGTCCATTAGTGCGGATATGATATTAGTGAACACACATGGGAGCCAATAAAGAATCTTGCAAATGCAGCAAAGGCGGTGGAGGCTTTTCATCGACGACATCTATCAAAATCAATATGAAAACTTTCTTTATAAAAGAAACAACATCTAGGCAAGATAACATTCTACTTTCAATCTTTGTTCGTAGCTTTTTTGTAGTTGTGATGCTCAGGAGATGGAGAACCAACAACCATCGGATTTGACTTAAGAGCCTTCATTTGTTGACCTGTCGGATGAGTCATTATGATTGTCACAACCTTCAAGATGATGCAATCGAGATGAAGATCTTCAAGAATGACATGTTCTTCTTCAAATAGATGGCGAGATACAATGCATTTGGTATCACGATTTGGGAAGAGACTCGCGATGTTTGGTGATTTTGCTAGAGGTAAGAACAACTCGTGATGGTGTTCCAAATGTTCTATTCGAAGGAAGTTATGAAGGCCTCAACAATGATCAAATAATTGGGTGGTCTTTCTGTCCTCATATGGGATACTACCAATGGTTGAGAGGCCCTATCAATCATCTTCGAAGAGAACAAAGATCAGAGTATGTGGCAAATAGAATTCGTCGCATCATAGATTTCCTCAACATATGATGACCGCTCCTCATAGAACTCGTCCCTAAAAGAGGGGATAATGTCACAGACATACTCATGTAAGCTACTAATTACATATACAAATAGGTAGAAGTAAGTAAAAGTATGTAAAAGTAAGTTAATTCTATAGTATTTAATATAGAAGCTTCATAGATACTGCTTTGACTTTATAGGTGTCTTTAATTGACTTTTTGGATTAGAAACGTGATCAACAAGTTAGCCATGTGCCACACATGTTGTTAGCTTGAAGATCAAGTTAATTATGTGGCCCACACATAGAAAAACTTGCCTTGTAAGTCAAGGCATGTGTCCTACAAAGTCAACACATATTGAAGGTCCTATAGAACATCGCCACGTAGCTCCTAGTTAGATAGTATATATAGAGACAAGAGTGAAGCCTTCTTCACTCTTATCAACTCTTTTCTTGCTTCCAATCTAATTTCAAGGGTCTCTAATTTTTTCGTCTTTTGGCAATAGCCATTCCAGTTTCTCTTTCAATATATATACTTTTTTATTTATATTTTGTTACCTTTCTTTGAGTGAAGGCTTACTTGTCTGAATTACTTTTTTATCGAATTCTTGTCCTTGACAGCAACACAAGACTTTCTAAGAAGGTCACTAGTTACTACTTTCTAATACTAATCTTCTCCTTGTTACATCAATCCAAGTCTATGAATTAGCTCCTCGATGGCTTGGACTTATTTATATTTTTGCAATAATTTCTAATATTGCATACTGCCTCGAGCTTCTGTCAAATATTTGGATCCATTTGAACTTCTATGTTTCTCAGCTTAAGAAATTTCATATTAAATCAAGACACTTTTCAAATTAATATTAATCACAACCACCACCACCACCACTAGTTGTGATTGATGACCAACAAAAGTATGAAGTGGATAGTATTTTGGAGCATTGCTATCTTTACTATGACAATGGACGACCACAACTTTAGTACAAATTTCTTTGGAAAGGTTATTTCATCCGCGATGCAAGATAGGAACCTGTACAAAATTTCATTCATTATTAAAAAAAACCATTTGGAAATACCATCAAGAGCAAAATAAGGATATTCTATATTAATAGAAGGAGATTAAATATAATAAGGCATAGATAAGATATTTGTATTATTTATACATAGAGATATGTAGTTGGAGTTTCTTTTAGGAATTTTTTAGAATTAAGGTTAGAATGTTGGTTTATGTGGGATCCACCATAGAACCTTCTAAATAGGCTTAAGGTGGTTATTATAGTAGGGCCTAACTTTAAAATCTTCTAAAAAGATAGTTATTTTGGTAAGATCCACCATTAGAGACAAGCTAGAAAGTTCTAAGGTAGTTGAACAAAGTATAAATATGACTAGCTAAGGCCATTTGAGCATTCAATTAGGTATGATTTTAGACTCTTTTTCTTAGTAAAGTTTGGTTGTTTTTTATTTTTTAGTTTTATTTGGTTTTGTTTGGTTCTATTTTCTTTTACTCATTCCTATCTTTTATGTTTCTTATTAGTTTAATTACTTTCAGTTTTGTTCTCATGTGTTTGATCTTACGTTATGTCGAAATCTTTATTGTTATAAATTTGGTAAGGTTTTAGACCTTAGAGAATCAAATCTTGTTTAATTGGATTTAATATCAATAGATTTTTAGTGGCTTTAAATGTGGAAGATAATTAAAAACTTTGTACAATCATGTGATATTTTTTCAAGATCAAAAACTCCTTGTCATTAATCTTATTATTTATATATACCATATTGAATCTAAAAGATGTAAAAAATATAATAGCAATAAACCAAACTATAAAGTAGTGCACTTGTACTCAAATTCCAATTAAAAAGCAACATACAACTTAGTATTATGCTAATAAAAGTAGATGGCTTGGCTATAGTAATCAAATTGAAATAAAATCTATATAAAATAAGTAAAATTTTGTATAATTTGAATGATAATATAAATACTAATAGATTTTATATAAAATCTTATTCATTTAATTGACTAATAAAAAAGATAAAAAATAATAAATTATAAGATTATAGTATGAATATAAAGTTAATTATATATTTTAATATAAATTTCAAAATTATTTTGCATTAAAAACCTTAAATTTTACTTTTATCTAAAAAAGAGACATTTTTTTTAAATACATATACTTTCTAATTTATATTAAAATGATAATCATAATTTCTTCAGATACTAAAATTTCTATTTTTAAAAACTATAGATTAAATATTTTTTTAAGACCAATTATTTGCTCAAAAATATTTCATAAAAATAAATATATATTAATTTTGTTACAACAAAGATAGATGTTAATAATAAATAACATATTTTATGAGAATAATATTTGTAGTTTATATAAAAAAAATATAATATCTATCAAAATAATATCTTGCCATATAAAATATTTCTCTATAATAATTTTAGAATTAAAAAAAAAAAACAAAAAAACAAAAAAAAACATAATTTATTCTAAAAAGAATAATTAAGTTATAAAAAATTAACACAAAATTTTAATAAATGTAGATATTTTTTATAAATATTTTTTCTAAATATTTTTTATTATAGTATATTTATACTAAAAAAATTATGATTTTTTTTTGAAGTAATCAAGTTTAAAAAAATAGATGTTTTGTACTAAAATTATATTATTTAGTAAAACAGTTTTTGAACTTGTATGATTTAGATGAATACTATATTTAGATTTTTACCTATTACATAATGTATATATATTATATTAAGATAAAATATGTTCAAATTAACAATAATAATAGATCAATATTTTGACTTTATAATATTAAAATAATAAATTCAAGCAAGTTGTAAACAAATTGATGTACTTACTTAAATTAGTAGCTTAAAAATATATAAGTAATATAAGAATAGCTTAAATAAAGTTACACCATTTTTAGACAACATAGCATACGTGTAATTAATTAACAAAAGAAGCAGTATAAATCTTCCCAACATCTATGTAGATTCAAATTTAAGACTATTTAAATATCAATAATAGTCTAGGTTATGAATAGAAGGCTCTCCATCACATGTCTAAATTTATAGAAGTAATTACTTAAAAAGGATTCCAACTCCTCTCAATGCTTTAATAGAATCTTGATTAATAGAATCCTTTGTCTACATTTGATATCTATAAATAACAACTTATAAGATAGTATTTATTTATATGATTTATTTTAGAATTATTTTCTAAAAATACCTTCCACTATCTCTTAAGTTCAAAGAATAGTAATGGAGACAAAATCCTACACCATGTCGTACTCTATGTATCTTCTATAGGTGACAAACAATTAAGAGCAAAGTTTGTACAAATGCTCATATAACTATTAATCCAAGTTTAGATCCAAACTTTAAAAAATAATAATGCACATCATCTTTTCTATTTCAGTACCACATATACTATATTGTTCTATGGTCTAATATCTTTACCAAACTTTTTTTTTTTATATCCTAAGCAAACATTTAAATTCACCACCGCCATTTCTTTTACGTACATATATTTTTCATTGAGTGTATATTTTTTTTTACAATCTTAAATCAATAATAGCTTATTTTCATAATTCTATATTATCATTCTTCTTTTAAACCTGAATTTTGAATTTAAAATAAAATTTAAAATAACTTTAGAACATTTCTAGATGTGCTCTTGTGTAAAACCATGCACGGCAAAAGCAACTCAACTTCAGAGTCAAAACCAATTTTTTTTAGAGAAATTGCTTTGAGCTTTGAGTTGCAAAGTAGACACAAAATTATCTTCTAACAACTCAACAAAGATCATGGATTGTTCCGGAGCACAAATCCAAATCACTCTAAAGCAACCTAGAAGCTTGTAAAGGAACAGTATCTATAACCATTTGGGGCTTCCTGCATCAGAAACTGTTTCAAAGTTTACAAGGGAAGTTTGAGCTATGCCGCAGAAGTTGTAGAAATGTATGAAATTCTCATCTATTCCTATTCCGCAGAAACACGGTTTGACGAGACACTCCTACATACACATTATTAAATGCAGAGCCTTGCTCACATATGGATTAGCATCCAAAAATTGACATTCTAGAGCCAGACACATTATTTTTCTGCTACGGAGTCCATTGCCCAAAGAATGAGAAGCTATCGCTGTTCAGCCACCAGAAGTAGAGAAAAGCTTTAGCCATCCATAGCTCCAGATAGTGAAAGAATCGCCATGTCTAAATAAATGAATGAAAAGGCAGTGGCACCATGGGCCTCAATGCACAGCCGGTCTCTTGTTCCCATTATTCCAAAATCTGGAGTTTGCTTGAATAGATCCAAGCCCGAGGAGGATGATAAATCTGCTCCGTTACCTTCAATTGCTTGCGAGACTTGTTGTGATTGATCTCCCTCCTGTTTCGTCAGATTCACCGGCGCGATCTTTACTCTGCGAACAAGTAGGCCTGAGCTGTGAAGCAAGAACCCCATGTCATGCCCTCGGTTCTGGCGGCGAGGTTTGGTGGCTCTCCTCCGTATGTGGCCCCTATCAGTACGTACTTGTACCGACCCATTGGAGATCTGCCACCACAAAGTGAGTCAGGAATGTTGTTTTTGAACTCAGGGGAGTGTTGCAATCGCACCAGGTAAGAGATTTGTCAGTACGTGTGAAAGAGGAGACACTTACTCAGTGCCTCCGGAGGTGGTGATGGCTAGCAATTGCCATGGGCAGCCGTCGGAGGAGATTTTGAGGGGCTGGGTGCACTGCCTGCCCTGAAGCCAGAACCCATTGGGAGATCCGAATCGGAACGCCACTTTGCTGCCATAAGCATCAGGCTTCAGGACTGTTCCACATTGCCCGAGTGAGCTGCCTCCGGCTACTTCAGACATTTTGGCGGAAAAGCCACGACGGATCCAGCGGCCTCCGGTGAACCGATAGCTGATCTTTCCTTCACAGAATACCGACTGCACAAAGGTTCCATTTGCTGTCAGAGATGGTGGAACCTGAGGAGGCTCACGATCCACGGTGTAGAAAGTGAACTTCCCTCCGAACGGGACACCGGATGTAGAGCCATATCCGGTGCACAATGCCTGTCTTGGAGGCAAACCACCTCTCGTCCCGGTGAGCGATACAAATGTAACCTGAGACGTATCTCCTCCACCGCGGCGCACTTTAACGATTGCTAAATACTCTGGGATAGCTGATGAAGACACTCGCACGCTCTTCAGAGGTGAGGCTGCATAGAAATACCGAGAGATTTTTATGAAACGTCAGATCTACTCAATACACAAACAAACATGTTTACAAAATGACATGCGTTCTTTTTCTTCTTTTCCTCTCCCCTTTATGAAGTACCTTGTATAACACTCACTGCGTGTCCTGATTCGTGGGAGCCTCCAGCGCTATTTAGGATGTTCCAGTAGTAAGTGTTCGTCCGCGCATTCTGGTCATAGACTGCTCGGTAAGTTCCAAGTTTTGAACCGTCTGAAGAGATTACGTCAGCAGAAGACCCTGTCTTGATCCAATAGCCGTGTTTGCAGACATACTTCTGAACCCCATTCCGGATCGTCCCTGTGAATCCAACGCTGCAGCAGTTACAAACACTAAGAGTCAATGCGCAAACTACCGACCATATTCTCTACTACTTATCGGACCTTTCCTTAAATACAAGGCACATTTGACACATTTTAAACAGATCTATTGAATATTAGGAATATCTGTCCATGCTAAGTGAATAATTTACCTGTATCCTTTCGGTGGAACAAGGACATGTGCAGATACGACGCTCCATGACAGCACAGCAACAATACACAAAAGGATGATATGCCTAAACATTATGTCCAGTGGTCGAACCTCCCGATGCGTCACTACCTCGACCAGGAAACTCACACAAAGCAATCTGAAACAACCACAAACGAAGCAAGTGCACTTGTGAGCTCGTTTCGAGATGCACCATTCAGTACTCCACCATTTCCTTACGACCTTATAAAAAGATACTGCAACTCCGAGGACCAGTTAGCATCATTCACATGATTGATACGGGCATGACTCACTTACCAGCACATGACAGATTGTTTGGGGTAATGCACGTCAATCCCTGTAGCCATACACAAGCAAGAAAGATGTGGTTATCTTTACAGTTCTTTCAATACTGCTTTCTCTGAAACTAACAGATCAATTCCAGATATCCAGAACAGGAAAATCTCGCCGATCTTCGCTTGCCTGACTTGATTACCGAAAATCCCCTCCCACCCACAAATTCAAAATCGTCTAAGATCAGTTCAGTATCTATTCTCTCCACTGCCAATTCATAAACGTAATGGCGACCCCATCTACTTACTGCAGCTTACAACCATGTCTGTCGAAATAACATGAGCCTATCAAACAACAACAATCTCCTTACAACTTGTATGCGGCGCTTTTGACTGAGTACATTTCGCGAACTCGGACCCACAGCTCACTGGCAAATATACTAAAGAAGGCCCCCACAATGCTGAATTGAAGAGAGAGAAATGAAGGGAAAGAAGTTGAAGGAACGGTAAAAGAGATTCCAGTTGCCTACCAACGAAACGCAGCTGAACGCTCACGTTGTCTATGATCCAGCTGTGTAAGTTGACAATGGGAGAAGATAGGGTGGGCAAATCTTATAGTAAGGCTGCATTTGCTACAAATGCCGAGGATAAGCGTCTGATCACGTTCCCAATCCGGAGTTTGGGGAAGTAATCGCGTCAACACACGCCTTGGTTTCCGTCGTATTAGCGCCAAATTGGTTCTATCTATTAATACCTCCCAACTTCGAAGTTTCAATACTTCTTTAATAGCATCGGAGCACACACTTCCCCAATCGTCATCTCAACTCACTACTAACAGTAAGCGGGCTGCTTCATGCTCCTCTCCCTACATGAGGTCTGCTCCCGAAAGTTATGGACTTGGCGAGATTGTCGATCGTACGTTGACTTTCACTCCCAGTCCTTCAACGCTCTAGTTTCATATCCGAACTGTCCTTTCCTTGGATATCCGACGCTTCCCGCCACAACAACGTCAGCTGTCTGGACTATTGAACCATTTCGCATCCGAAGCCCCACTGCAGTCCCTCTACGTTTTCAACGTGGGAATTTCCTTAACCACTAAATAAGATTATAGAAAAACTACATAATTTAGTTATTACTGCAGTCTTGGCCATAATTAAAAAATACTACTAGAAATTCCAAAGTACTAAATGGTTTATTTAAAAGAAAAATTGTTGATGTCATGGAAATTATTAAATTATTATAAAATAACTATCAATGATGTTATGAATAAGCAATAGAGACAATTTGTATCTATTCATAAAAATATCTTTGATATTAGTTATTACTCAAAAAAAAAAAAAAAAGACAAATAGCAACAAAAGAGTTATATACATACATACATATATACATACATACATATCTTAAATCTCAAACAAATGTTTTGTGTGATAATACTGATTTTTAATTTTTAATTTTACAATTAAATTAAAATTAAAAATGTATTGTACGTTGGTGAATTTAATTAATTATTACTTGAAATATTGTTTCTCAATGATTCTTCATGGAAGTCTGAGATTCATGAGCCATAAATTAACCATTTTCAGCTTTGTGTCTTAGGTGCACAAATTCAACAGACACATCATTTTTTTAAGATACAAGTCTAATTTGACATTCACATAGATGATATGTTTATATAACACATATTATTAACATGCTATAATAAGTTAGTCCAAATTTTGTTGCTTGGAGAAAATAATGTAATCCTAATCAGAGATGTATGTGTGTGTGTGTGTATATATATACATATTCATTCATTCATTCATTAGTGTAATTGCACTCTGGAAAGCCTGTGGGTGTTGAAATATTACTCTTGAAACAAATCCTGCAATTGCATAGTGATCATAACCTCACATTAATGCTGTTGGAAAAGGATTTGTGGGGGCACAGCTTGCTGATGTCGATCACCAGTCTTTCTGATGGGAACTGGATCAATCGCTTGAATCACATCACGTCTTGTGATCTATACTCTGGAGACCTAAGCGTGCAATCTAGTTTGAGATCCACCTGCCGCGACTAGACCGCGAAATCGCGTATCCATCCTAGCCACCGACACATCAGGTGAGCTTAGCGATGCTGAGGCTTACCCTTGATCTAAAACCTAAATGGTGCCATGGATACCCAGGTTGTTGGCGACGATGTGATCTGATTACGTTACCTCGCTAACCTCGCTGGCAATGGGACTCGCTTGGCTCGTGCCTACAACCGATCATCGCTGAGAGATTAAGTAGCAGGGTGAAGCTTTCCTACATTGTTTACCCTCACGTGATGGTCAGACAGAACATCATCGCTGAAGCAGCATCGATGACCCAGGATGCTTTCGAGAGAGTCTGCAATGTACACTTCAGCGAAGTTTGAGCTTCCGGTCATCACCCATAGCGGAACAAGCGCCTTCGGAGACATTAGCATAACATCATTCACCGGACAATAGATGCGGTACAACTCAATTTGATTCTAAAGCTCTGTGTACAAGGAATAGAGCTAGTCTTTTCATGGGTTTACAGAGGCACTGGACAGGAGAAGCATTTAAATTCGGGGCTGTGATTTAAACCAACTCTGCGATAGAGGCAAGGACACAATGAGCAGTGGCGTTGGTGCAGTTCAACGGCAATGGCGATGCGCAACAACCTTCATCTTCGTCAGAAGTCTGCCAGCTCTCATGGGCCTGCCTGAGCACGAAGATATTGCCATTCGCCTTCGTAACCAACGCCATCAGATGTGGGGATGATGGTGATGCACACATTCGAAAGAGGGACAATTTCATTCCATTCACTGCCTCAGCTTTCATATTCTCCATATTTTAATATAAAGTATTGCAGTATCAATATAACACTTGATGCCAAACCACAGTTGTTTCCTCCCAAAACCATATTTCTTTTTTTCTTTTTCTTTCGTTTCTTTATTTGCAATAATTTGCAAGCATGTTTCATGTTTTTCACTTTGACTTCTTGAAACATATTTCTGTCGTAAATAATCGGGTTTTACTCTTTTTGAATATTATGAATTTTACAGATTTGAATATTATTAATTTTATAGACCTGAATATAAAAAAAAATGGCTTCATTTTACAATACTGCAGCAAGTTGTTGGTTGTTATTTATTGCAATCTTTACAATACAAACTTTGGTACCTATAACCTTAAATGATTAAAGTGTAAAATTTTCAAACTACTCTCTTAGTGAAAAACGAATTTTAAACTATAGTTTTGATTTTCATTTTGAAATATATACAATTGATTAATAAAATCATTTATATAAAATTTTGTAATACTCATTTTTGGTACTTATTTTTTAGACAAGAAATATTATAATATTTTACAATAGAAATTTTTTGAATATGTATATGTATCTATATATGTTAAAATAAGTATGTAAAAATAGAAGTAGAATAAATTATCTTATAGAATATATTATCTTGGATAAGTTGCCAATGGTCAAAGGATTGACTCTTGGTGGTTAGATTGATTCTTAGTGGTTATTCTTATCTAGTTATCTTCTTATGGATATAAGATGAGGTCAAGGATCAAGAGTCAAACTCAAGAGGATAAAGTATGAACTAAGAAATATTCAAAGACTAGATAAGAATAATTAATATTTGGCATATGATACTATTGTGGTTAGTAAGATGCCTAAGGATCTTAGGACCATGTGTATAAAAGTCAAAGCGTGGAAGTTGTCTTCTAGGACAGTATCCACCACTTATAAGTATTGGGTATTGGAAGTAATAAATATTTTACTTTAGACTCTTTTTGTGTGTAATCTTGCTGATGTTAAGTGTTGCAACTTCATAGTGCTTATTTTTCAATAGGTTATGGACCTACTCACCTTTAGATGTGAATTTTGAAGTTCTTTAAAGCCTTATTGTGAAAAGTAGATCTTTTGGTTGTTACTAATGTTATGTTTGGTATCATCTTATTTTATTGTTGCATCTAGTTATTGATGTAGTTTTGCTCTTACTTGTTATTAAGTGCATTGATAATCTTAAAGGTTTTTAGATACATTAAAATAAAATTTTAAAATACTAGTATTATTTTTTTTCTAATTTATATCATTTGTAATCTAACATTGTGGTTTTATATGATAAACTCTCTTTAAGATCCTTTTATAGTAATAAGAAGTATTTTGTGAGGTTAGATATATTTTATGAAAGAGAAGAGATAATTGAAGACTAGCAAAGCTTATATAAGAGATTTATATAGAGTATAAGATATGTAAGAAGTCTTATAAGTAAAGTTGAGAGTGATTAAAGAGTGATATCATTAGTTCACTCACAAAGAAGGCATTTTGGATTTCTTAGGCATCAACATCTTCTTGATAATTTTGAGAGTTTTTTTTTTTTTTTTTTTTTTTTTTTTTTTCATACACGCCTTTCTTAAATATGGCTTCAAGTGAGAGAGAATATTTGCAAAAGATTGAAAAGTTTAGAAGTAACAACTTCTATCATTGGAAGAAGAAAATGAATCTTTTATTGACTTCATTGGATCTTTAGGACATTGTAGATAAAAGTGAAGAGCCTCCAAGTGATGATGTTGATGTCAAAGTAAAGAAAGTGTACAAACATCATGAAAGGAAGGCTTTTGATATGATTGCATGAAATTTGAATGATGCCAAATTTTCATATATAATTATTTAAAATGGACCAAAAAAAGCATAGAAGACTCTTTGCAACATCTATAAGAGAAAAAACCTTGCCAACATTCTATGGATAAGAAAGAAGTTCTTAATGGTAAATATAGAAGAAAAAAATGTCTTCATAGCTCATATCAACAAGATAAAAGTACTTACAAATCAACTAGCAGTTGTTAATAAGTCAATTGATGATAAGGACATTGTATTGATATTGCTCATGAGCCTTCTCAAGTCCTACAACTACCTCATTGTGGTATTGAATTCTATCAACATGAAGGAGCTTAGCATGAATTATGCTACATGAAGGCTTGCCAATGAAGTAACCAAGAGGAAAGAAAAAGAGCTTCAAAGTGATGATTTGACTCTATTTTCAAGATAAGATAAAGTTAGCTATTTTTATCAACATAGTAATTTAAAAAATAATATAAAAAATTATTATATTTATAAAAAACTAAATCACTTTACTAGTAATTGCTACAAAGTCAAGAAAGGACATATAGAGAATGCAAACAATGCTTGTGATAACTTTGATGGACATGACTATGGTTTCATGGTAAGTGAAGGAGTGTCCATGGCTGCTATGTCTAAATAAGTTATAAATTTGGATGCTAATAAGTACATTATATCATATAAGTATTCATTTGACACTCATGAAAAAATTCCACCAATCAAGGATTTGGTTGGAAGACAATGACATGGTATAAGCCATTAAAATTAGATCCATTATTATGAAATTTTTTGTAAAGGATCAAATAAAAAAAATCAATTTGAAGGAAGTCTTATATGTACCAAAGATGAAGAAGAACC